GAGAGAGAGAGAGATTTTTACTGGTACAAGTCAGACCCGTTCGCGCGATCGCGCTGCGATTTTTTTCTTTCTCGAGGAACCACGCCCGTGACGTCAAACGGCGTGACGTCGTACACTCGCACGTGCTCCATTCGTCTCCGTTTTATCGGAACATATGCGAATTCGTCGCGATAGCTGACGAAGCTCAGAACCGTCCGCGGAAATCCATTCCGTCCACCCGTCACGATGTAAACGCCTCGACCGTTCGTACATAGAGCGACTTGAAGGCCATCGCCGCTCTTTTTTGCTATTAGCTAAGTATACCGCCTCTGGCTTATGTTAAGCCTCGGTAATTATTTGTCACAGTCAGCTACGACGAGAGACAGACAGAAGAAGACATGACGAGATGAGGGCGAAGGGGAGAGCCCTTTCTCTCTCGGCTCTTCAGCGCGATAGGAAAGAGTCTCATTGATTGCAGTACAATTAATTCTCTCTTTCTGTGTCTTTGTGTTTTTTCTTCTTTGCTCTAAAATATTTCCTTTTATACATTTACGAAAAATATATCGTAAACATTAATTCGACTCTTTTAATTGTGCTCGTGATATTTTTTTAGCGATTTCACTACGCACTGAAAATTTATTAAATAGATGTACTACATTAATTTATATATTTTTTTTATAATTTAAAATGTACATATTTTTAAAGAATGTATAAATGTATAATGTTTAAATGTACTTAAAGTATATTTTAATCGATTTATTCAATTTTTATATCGTGGTTTTAAGATTAAATTTATATTAATTTTGACGCTTAATTTAGAGCAAAAATAATTTTGTAATATAATTTGCTGTTGATTTGCTTTTGTTAACTTAAGTATATTTTCAGTATATTCGACTTTCGTGACATTTGTCAATTTCATATAGCTTTAATCTCTTCTCCTCGTTACGTTTTCGTTCTGCTCTCATCCCGCAGCACTTCTGCCTCTTCCGCCCCGTCATTTTCGGCGCCGTTCTCATCCTTAATGTGATTTTAAGCAGTGCTACGAGCAACATCATCGAGAATCCAAAGATCCACGGATGTTTGCAAATAATTTCTTTTACCTCCGTTTATCCTTCCATCGTCGCTGCTTTATTTCTAAATGAAAAAAAAAACAAAACCACTGTAAGACAGCCATCAAGAGACGTTAATTGCACCTTTTAAAGACGGTTTACGTTAACATCTTTTTTTATAGGTGTCAGTTTTTTTAATTAAAAGTTTAAATACGTACTTTGTGTCAGTTTGTTGATTTAACGTGTTTCTTTACACGAGTCTTTTCATTTCGTTACATTTTTGCAGTGCTCCACATTAAATTATTGCAATTGGAAATATTTGATTTCTACTGTAAGCACTTTCTTACGAACTCGCAATCCGTCAACCAAAACGGCTCCTACGCTACTCTAGGAGATCATTCTGTGGCTAGATAAGAAAGGAAACGGACGAAAGGGTAGACTCCATTCCCCGCATAGCATGCGGAAAAATGTTTCAGGAGAGTCAGTCATGCGTAAGGCATTTCGTCCCATACATTTCGTCAGGGTGTAGTCCGAGTGCGGACAAACACGTCTACAAGTACAATATATACAATCGTACATATACAAATATTGATGGGCTCGACCCTCTATGAAACAACGGAGAGAGAGAGAGAGCTTTGATCAACTCGCTTGGCTTATTTTCTATAAAGAAAATTCCCTTTCCGAGTAGAAGAAAGTTTGTGTGGAGGAAATAGAAGGTGGGGGAATAAGAAATAAAGAAAGATAAAAATAGAAGTGGCTGGCCAAAATGCGATTCGATTCTATGAAAATGTGGCGTTATTAATATATAATACGAAATTAATAGGGATGAAAATTTCTAGAGAATGAGAATGTATATGTGACGTTGCATGTCGGGGATGTCAAATAAATGCTTATTTTATGTGCATGTTTTATATTAATATTTGTGTAACAATTGTATTTATTTATTTCTGCATGTTTTAATGAAAATCTTTTTAAATTAGTTTGTAATGAGAATGCGAATGCGAAAATGTTTCTCGTTTCTTCTTGTATGAATTTTCAGAAGGAGAAAATTGAAAGATATATGATCTTTCACATAATACTAACTGTCTTGTCAATAATAAGATATTTCTAAAGCGTGTTTAATAATACAAATCTGACCAAATCTGGTTAATAATAGCAACGTAAACAGGCGAAATATAGCGCTTCAGCCTTGGAGGGATGTAGTAACTAACGCGATTCGACGCGTGTTTCTGTAATGTTTAGAACTTACACATTAGTAGGCCAACATTTGGATGCTTGATGACCGAAAATCCTATTTATGTACCTTGAATGTCGCGCACACGTATCGATCTCTATTTACTTCTCAAGGTTTTTGTGATCTTTTTTGTTTCAGGAACGGAACTGGTGCCGAGCTGATCTGTATGAACCTATACTATAATGTAGCCAATTTTCTTTGATATGTAATAATAGTCGATTTAACGCAAGATATTTTTATACACAATCTATATATATGTATGTAATGTAACGTATATACATATATATACATATATATAAATATATACATATATACATATTAAATATATAAATATTTGATCCTTATACCCGCGCATCGGTTACCAACAAGTTGGGAAAAAATATAATTCTATGCTATGTTGTGTCTTTACAACTCATGCTACATGATATATTTGTTAAGAAAATAGTGATAATGAGATTTGTAAAACGTAAGAGAAAGATGCTGAAGATAGTAAAATCAAGGCCGTAAAGAAGGCTTGTTGATTTATTATTATTACGATGACTTTGTAATTCACCAAATTCTTGTGAATTGAAAAAATAAAGTAGAAACACGAATATACGTTTTCTCTTTCTCCGATTTATGTTTGTTTATGATCAAAGTTATATTTATCCCGAACGTATATTAATACGAATACGTTTCAATGAATTTTATAAATTATGTATTCGATTTGTGTAAATATATATGGCTTAAAATTTCAACTGCAATATTTATTGTTGCTGTGTTTGATATTTTATGATTTCCACATTTTTATGTACGTTTCTTTTATTTAAAAACAGCCATCATTAAGAGTCGGCAGGAGTGACGGGCTAACTCCGACTTCTAAAATGATCTAAAATGATTATCTACTCCTTATTTACAGTGCAGATATGTAAGAGTCACTCAATTATATTTTGTCTTATAGAAACGATGTTTCTATAAGATGAAATTTTGCTAAGATAATTTCTTTTACAATTACAAAGGTATCTAGAGCCAATTTTGCAATTAAATAATTAAAATAAATGTAACTATCTACTCTTTACAATGCAGATATATTTGAGTACATCCATCTTCTCGTATATCTATATCTTCTCGTAGAAGCAATATTCTGCCATGAGCCTTTTTCTACGTATTTTTTATAAAATTATGACTCTTGCTACAGAGCAGAATTTTGCAATTTGGTTCTTAAAAAAAATTTACAATAGATGAAAATATTTGCACCTTATTGTCCTATAGTGCAAATCTATTTACGCATAAAATGAATTATTTATTTTTGCACATTTTCTTACAAAAATCACTCTGTAGCTTTCGTCAGGCAAATATTCTGATTATAAATATCATAATTATATAGCTTTTCTCGCAGTATTTTGACCGTAATATGGGTGAAAAGGAATTCATCTCTGATAGAGGTCTCCATAGTTTTTTCTGCCAACTCTTAACACATGTTTCATTAAGTAGCGATACGTTTTATTAGAAAAAGAAGGGTAAGAATCTGTAAATTCGTGTGATTTACTTATTTATATATCTTATACTAATTTAATTATATAAAAAACAGATATTTTGACTTCTTATATATTTTATAATTTTTTTCTTTAATATTTACAGCAGAAAATTATGTGCAGGAAAAGCGACTAAAATGAGTAATTCTTGTAGTCACACTTTGATGTTGAAGATGCTGAAGATATGAATTTACATGTAAATAAAATGAGTATTTACAGACAAATAAGATAATGAAGAAAAAAGAAGAGAAGATAATGAAAAAAACTAACACATATTTACTTCAACGATGTAACACATAATAATCATAGTCTAGATTAAACGGGCGATTCCAGAATTTCCAGAAGAATTTTTCTAGAAGTCTACGATAGCTTCAGCGCGCGAGCAAGAAGAAGAGAAGATACAGGGTATGTATGTCTGCGTGTGTACGTGTGTTGGTCGCGCGTTAATTAGTTTGCAAGGAGTTTAAAGGCAAGCCTGGAAGGACTTCGTCAGGCTGCTAGGTGGTCCCGAAGCCTCGAGTCATCATTGCCTCATTTACTTCGTAAAACAATCTTGCCGGCAGTTCAATGGGCCTAACTATATCAAACTTAGCACCGCGTAATTAAACTTCGTTGTAAACCGGTCGAAAGGCAACAGGGTTTACATGGCTAGTCGAATTTTGGTATCCGATATGGGATAATTAACGGATGGTCTATGATCTCAAATCGTGAATCTAATTTATTGTGTGTTATTTTGCACCTCGTGCCTTCTAAAAAAAAATAATATGTATCCAGAAACGGTAATTTTAGAATATAAATTGATACTGAAAGTTAGGTCAACTATAATGTCACTTTACACATCTTTTAATTTAAAAGATAAGCTCAATAATAGTAATAATAATCTAATAATTATTAGTTTTAATTAATTTCATCTTTCTTTTTCATTTCTAAAAATTAAAAAAAGAGTAAATTGAACAGAGGTTAAAATTAATAAACATTGATGAAAATGAATGTAAATAAAATATTTTGCAATGAAAAAGACAATTTTGTAAATGTATTTATATGCCGTGGTAAATATAGACGGGGTAAATCGGTAGATCGGTGGAAAGGAACGAAACAAAAATAGCATTTCCGCAACGTTATTCAGGTAAATAGATGCGAAATGCAAAAAGGACGTGCGAGATCGTCTTTTGAGAAATCGCTCCGGATTATTAGGGTACGCCAGATTTTCACCGTACGACCAACGTCGAGGGTTAAGCTGCCGTTTTTACTGATTTTTTTTCTAATCCTTACAAATGTCAGGGTCATCAAGTTTTTTTTTCTCTAATTCGTATCACGAACCGACCCGCATGCGTTTCGTTAATCCTGACAGAGCGGCTCGCGGTTTTGTTTAAGGAATGCTTGTTAAACGTTGCCGTATTATTAAGCGCGACGCGATGCAACCGTTAATTTTGTCAGAGCACGACAAGCCAAGGCGCGCGATTTGTCCCCGAATCACATAAATTCTGAAATTATTTTTTCTTACTCTCGTCTATCTTTCCCGGTTCTCGATTGAGACTTCTAAGAGAGAAGTCAGATCAGTTATAAAGGTATTATAGAATCGCCGTTCACGCAGAATCTCGACTTCGACGAGCGGCTTTTCTGCGAAATCGGGAATCGGCCAAAGTTCAGTTCGTGGCCTGACTGCCACGATTTCGGGGTCCGCGCGTAACTTACGCGATACACACGGGTGTCACTAATCTCTTTCCCAGAGAGACAAAACTATCTCCGTAGCGTAGACAATGGGGAGAAGCGCTGACGAGTCAAGCGCAAACCCTTGAAATGACAAATGACAGGATGTATCCTAAATACACCCGCCGTCGGGGTGTATCCTATTTTCTTCGCTTCTCTTCGCGACGTTCGCGTATTTCTCTCGTATCTCGTTAGCCCGAGTTAGCTCAGTTGTAGCATTTTAACGAATGGATTTCGATAAATATCACGCCTGTTTTTTCCACGCCTGTTTCGCCTAAACATGTAACTCTAGTTATTTAGTTTTAATTTATGATAAATTCGACCTGTAAATGAAACTGTAAAAAAACATGATTTTTGATAAATCATTTCATTCAATGTGAGTTAGATTTTACATATATAAATATTTCACTGTAATTTTTATAAACGATCATGGAAATTATAATTTTATTTTTATCATATTCTTAAAAAAATTAATATTCGAGAAATATGTAATGTTTAAAAAAGCCTAATAATATTGCAAAAAAGAAGCCCAAATATTTATGCACATGCATCTCGGCAAGGCCGAGATTGTTATCACGATTATATAAATAATTAAAAAACAGCTGTGTATATGGTAATGGAAAACTACTCGCCTCCTTATTCTCCTTATCGTGCGCCTCCGCTTCAAGAAATTACCTCGGAGCGAGGTGGAGTCCGCAGAACTAATAGAAAAAAGTATGAGAATAATAATGAGACTCCTTTAAACTCCGTACGCGATCCTTTTGAAGTGGCAAACGGCACTGACTGCGAGAAATAGAAACTGCGTGTTAGCGAGAGGTTGTAATTAAGCTGTGCCCTCAGCGGCACCGTCGCTACCCCCCTTCCCTCCCTCACGCGTGTACGCGATACCTTCCTTTTCATAGACGCATCGCGCGCTCTAATCTATCCCGAGACGCGCTAGCATAATTAATTTATTCGCATTTGCGGCTCGTTAATTGAATAACCTTGGGGCCCTCGCACGGGACGGTTAATGAGCGCGGAGCGACGAGTATCTCATTAAGCGGAGAATATCGCGAGGCGCCTGGACGCACGAACCCCGGAAATCCGTACACCCTAGCGTATTACGCCCTGCCCCTCCCTCCCCCCCTGGACGAGGGCCAGTCTCCTCGACAAGAGATTCGAGAGCGAGAACGCGAGTTCCAAGTCTAGAGCTCGTAACACGCTGCTGCAACACCTAAGATTGATCCTTACAAAATTGCATCGTCACGTAAGGTTCTCTTTCCGAAGATTCTTTTTCCAATTCTACTAATTTCCCTAATTTTTCCTCGTTGTTGAAGTATCGAGGTTGTACTCCGAGGTATCGCTCGCTTACAAGATGAAGGGACACTGCCGGACACTCCTCTTCCCGAGCGTGATATCCTTAATCGATACGTACAATTTCCCTCCTTCCCACCGTCCGCGCCGTCCTCGTCATTCCTCCTTGTTCGGAATTCTCGCGGACGTCGATGTGCGACCGATTAATTCCCTAGCCGAGTCCATATTCATCGCCTCGCTTTAAACCACTCTCTCTACTCTCTGTCTTTCCCTTTTTTTTTTTTTTATTCTTTTTTTATTTTTTCCT